ATTCGTTGCCACTGCAGCTACCACCACAAAAAACCCTCATTGCCACTCACACTACGATGACCACTGTCACCAACCACTCACGTCCTTCAAGGGAGCACAAACAGTGAGCTGCCCAGGACTTGAACCTGGAATCTCCGGCTCCGGAGGCCCACGCCTTGTCCATTAGGCCAAAGCCCTTTCTGATCAACTACCTGTCAAGGGCACACTCTGCCCCTGACACGCAAACACCATCCCCCCGCCTCCTCAAGGGAAGATGCCGTTCGAGGGAGGCACCTTATCCACTAGGCCACACGAGCCACGATGCATTGGCTCTAAGGCCGCACACCACGTGGCCAACTGCACAAACGCTCCTCAAGAAAGACTTGGATGCGTACAACTCATCCCCAGCACTGCTCAAATGACTTGCAAACATCTAACCTGGATGTGGCTTGGTCTCATATCCACGCTTCAGGCCCCCTCCTTACCAAGCTCTTGCTCCCAGTATTGAGGCCAGGCGCCCCTAGCTTCTGCTTCCTTTTCATCCTTGGGCACGTGGCCTGCACTACCAACATGTTGGAGGGAAGAAAGCAATCTGACTTTGATGAAGGGGTCTCAAGACATGGTGCACAGATATGCAAACCTCACATCATCAATCATGAACTTGCAGAATTTTTAGCCACAGCGAGCCGGAGTTACCACTAGAGCATCCTGCGCACCTCAAGGGAGCACAAACAGTGAGCTGCCCAGGACTTGAACCACGTGGTGTGCATCATGGCCAGCCTTAGAGCCAATCAATGCATCGTGGCTCGTGTGGCCTAATGGATAAGGCGCCTCCCTCCTAAGCAGAAGATTGTGGGGTCGACATCCTCCGCACTTCAAGGGAGCAAAAACAGTGAGCTGCCCAGGACTTGAACCTGGGGCTGGATCAAAGGAGAGCGTTGCGGCGAGCGCTGGGAGTCTATGGCCAGGTACGCCAAGAGCGGACCTCCTCGAGGCCAAGCGGCTTCGGACTGAGACAGTCCTCAGTCAGGTCTTGCAACGGCCTGACAGCTGGTGGTGTAGCCGCTGTTGGTCAGGGAACTTATGCTTCCGCAACAGATGCCACAAGTGCTCTGCCATCCGGGAAGAGCCGGATGAGGGGTCGTCCGACGACGGACACCACCCGAAACCGTCACAGCAGCTGACGGAAGAGATCCAGAAGTTCTTGGCCCAATCGCAGAGACGGAAATCTCCGGCTCCGGAGGCCGACGCCTTATCCATTAGGCCAACAGCCCTTTCTGATCAACTACCTGTCAAGGGCAGACTCTGCCCCTGACACGCAAACACTATCCCCCCGCCTCCTCAAACGAGATGCCCTTCAGAGACGAGCGCCAGAGAGCCAGAGCAGCCGAAAAAAAAGATCCATCTCAACCCACAACATGTGGAGGTGAGTCCAATTGAGTGGACATCGCCTTCAGAGTGGGAACATCAGGGATTCAGCGGTGGTTCAAGCCCAAGGAGGAGGTCAAGGTGAAACTGCTGAACCCAGAAGCACGACTCCCGACTAGAGGCTCTGACTATGCAGCCGGGCTGGACCTGTATTCGACTATTGAGACATTGGTTCCACCGGGGGAGAGTGTCCTGATCAAGACTGGAATTACCATGGAACTTCCACCGGGAACCTACGGACGAATTGCACCGAGGTTATCGTTGGCAATCCGGGGCATCGAAACGGGCGCTGGAGTTGTGGACAGGGACTTTCGCGGGGAGGTCAAAGTCCTGCTGAGGAACTGGTCCGATGACGACCTCAGAGTCTACAAGGGGGACCGAATTGCCCAACTGGTGGTGGAGCGCATCCTGGAGGTTGGGGTGCACCCGGTGGAGGACTTGAGCGAGACCGGCAGGGGCAACCGAGGGTTCGGATACTCGGCTCATGAGGAAGCTTACCCGTGGGCGGAGCCTGATGACCCGCTCTATCAAAGACAGGAGTTGGGAACCAGGACACCTGTGAGCCGGATCTCAATGAGAACGATGAGGGTAGGCTCAGGTCAACGCCAAGTTCCAGAAGCGAACCCTGGGCAGACATCAGAGGCAGGCAGTGGAACTGGCCAACCATCTCCAAAAACCGACCTGAATCAGCTGGACGCCATCCGGAACCCGATCCTGACCTATGGCATCGTGGACCCTATGACCCGGAGGCAGAGAGGAAAAGGAGAGCGAGCCTGGGCCTGGGTATGTCAGCCTGGGATCGGATGATGGAGAGACGTGGCCCTAGGAAGAACTTTGGAGGGACATGGATCATGATGGACTCGGAGGGCACTCATGTGATCTTCAACGAACACGGCTCGGACCGAAGACAGCCGACCTCGGTAACACAGAGAGCCGAGGGGGTGGAGGAAGGCACTATATCATCGGCATCGAGGGGGGGCACCGGGCATTGAAGATGATGAGACTGAGGAGAGAGATAAGACGGGAGGAGCAGCAGATTCCAGGTCCATCGCATCCGAAGTGACAGCCATGGAGAGTCAGGGAATCGGGATGAGGAGCGAAGCATTGAACTTCATCTCACCGGTCGGCGATGGCATCACGGTCGGGAAGTGGACCCTATGGAATGAGGAGGTGTGGGACTTCCTGCGGGACGAGCTCTTCCAGCCGGGATTCTTCACGGCGGCCTTGCGGAAGAAGGTGGGGATTCCACCGAAGAGGACGGCAGCGAAGGACACGTGGCTGACGATCGAGGATCTGCCTGACGGGGGAAAGGTGACGATCCGTGAACATGTCCAGGAGAGGAAGAGGATGTTCGACTTCGAGAACCCGCATCTCTGGGACGAGCGAGAGTGGCTGCCGTGGAGGCTGACGATTGCCTGGGCGACCCTGAGGAAGGAGAAGTACATCCTGGTCGACAGGAGACAGGGGAAGAGAAGCTCCTATCTGCCCAACACGTGGGTCGGATACACGCTCTTCAGGACGCCCGGGCTTGAGAGAAAGGGGGGTTTGAGCTGAGGGTCAAAATGACCATTTTGAAAGAAGACCAAAAGGGTCTTGTTTTCCAAGCCTAGAGTGGGCACCGAAATTTGGCCATTTTGGCCAAAGGGGGAGTGCCGGTGCACAAACAGAGAAGTGTACCGTAGTTTTGGTTGAGAAGAGGTGCACACAAATCAAGAAGTGTACCTAGTTTGAGAGTGCAGGAACATGCACTTAAATCAAGAAGTGTACCAAGTTTGTGAAGGCATGAAACCATACGAAGCCCTTTTTTAGCCAAGAAAAGAACCGCGGCGAGCGGTCGTGCGCTCATGATCCCCGTGGCCGTGCCATCCATTTTGGACCGTGGAGTGGGGAGTGTGGGGAGTGTCCACCTTGGACCCAGGTCTGCGAGGCGGGCGCGCGGCTCCTGGCGAAGACCGCCGAGCTCCACGCGGGTCGCGAGGCGGCCGAGGAGGCGGCGCGGCTCTTCGCGCGGGCGCGGGAGGTGCGCGAAGCCACTGGGCGCCTTGGATGGACGGGGCATTGGACCATGTGGGGGCTGGATCTTTCGGGGAAGTGGTGCGAGAAGATGAAGATGGAACCTTAAAATGGGGCCTTTGGAAGATGATTTTTTCTCTACAACCCAATGGTTTTCAGGTTCCATGTTTCCTCTATAGCCAGGGCGTATGACTCTGTGAGCCAAGGACCATCGAGACGGACACAGGAGAAGTCGGAGTCGAGTGGGACATGTGGTGGCCGCTGCAGGGGTTCACTTGGCCAGAAGAAGATGCATTTGACAGCCTTGAGGGCAAACTTTAGGGCACTGGGAGCATTTGTGAAAGATGTTGGAAGATGTGCAACTTCTTGAGATCTCTTTCCATATCTGCTTTCAAGGGTCGCCAGCACGTTATTTTTTTGGGGGGAGAGCCCCGGGAGAGCAGTAATTATGGCATGGTGTTTTCAGGTTTTGCTGCTGTTTGCCACTTGAGGAGTCAAGTTATTCTCCCAGATGGCTTCCTTCTACGCCAAGCGCGGCGACTTTGACACGGCCATTCAGGATGGGGCGACTTTGATCGCCGAAACGAGGGGCTTGGATTGGGGGGCTGGGGGCGCTGGACATCACGAAGGCTGCGTACCATCCGACCGCGACCATCACTTGGATTGCCTGATGCATCTCCTGGAAGTGGGTTCGGATGGTCCTGTGTGTTCCTCCTCCTCCCTCCTCATCCTTTCTCCCTCCTCCCTCCTCCTTCCTTCCTCCTTCTCCTCCTCCGTGCCGATTGATTTGTTTGCCCACTACCGATCGCAGGCCTGGCAAGATGCCAAAAAGGCATGCGAAGCCATCGACGAATGGTCCAAGATGATGGGAGTCAGGCGGGCATGGATTGGAAGATGGATCCATGATGATCAATGGAGGTGGAGATATGGTGGATGGGGCACAAGAAATGGTGGTGGCCATCAGTGTGGCCATGATCAGTGAGGCCACAAGAACGTTTCGATCGCCGTTTTTCGGGAGCCACCTGACTGGCCTTTTGCAACTCACTCATCTTTCGGGCCCCCATACTCAGTTGGCATCCAAGCCACGAATCAAACCCATGTGAATCAAGCCATGAAGCCAACCACTAATAAGAACTTCCTTCTGGGGGCCCGAAGGCGTCGGGCTTTCCCGAAGGCCTCGAACGGCAGGTCGGTTCGGCGCGTCGGCGACATACGGCGACACGGCACTCGGCCATCCGCGCGATCGCCGCCGTTGGTTGGCCCAAGCGGCCATGATGTCGCGATGTCGGCCGTGCAGCTCGGTGGGAGTTCTAAAGGTTGACCGTCTGGGAGTTCCTTGTGTGGTGAGTCATGTCATGGTGAGTGATTGGTTCATGTTGTTCTGCTGGGATTGGTTGAAGATGGTTGAAGTATGTTGAATCTGAAGTGATGTGATTCCTTGAGTGTGCCTCAAGGAAGCGACGATGTGATATGTGAAGAAGGCCCAACGGAACACATTAAGGCAACGAAAGAGGATGGTGAGTGAGGTAGCATCGAAGATCAACTGAAGCGTCTTGACAATGTGTTTTTCCTCTTTCATTTGCCCGCTTCTCTACCACAATAGCATTAACATTCATTAACTAAAGGAAAACAACAGTTCAAAGGTCTGAACAAAACGAGAACCGCTGGGCGAACTTGCTCGAGAACCGCTGGGCCGAGGCTAAAAGGATCGATCGGTGAGACCAGCATGGCCGAAGAGAGGCAGGGCAGGACCAGTCTCCGCTGTAGTCGAGACGAAGAAAAACGCAGAACCTGCGAAGACGCACATGTGCAGAACATGTGGAACACAATGCACAGTGACTTCGTTCGGGTCCCTCTAAGACCTCTGGAGCTGATTCGAGTTGGATCAGAATTTGACCAATCCATGGCTTGATGAAGTTGTCTGCCTCAGGGTGGAGAAGCCCTTGGGACGTCTCTACCACTCCGATGTGCTGCAATGGTTCAGCACCTGGGGCCCCTCGGCTTGGCTACTTATGTAGTGTGGGGTTGCCCGACTGCCAGAGAGAACCCGGATCATCAAGTTAACTAGTAAGTCAACTATATATATATATATTGTCAGTTGAACGCTGTTCAACCCCGTTCATGCACAGGTGACTCAGGTTTTCGACCGACCGCAACTTGTCCCACTCAAGGCGGGTGGGCTTCGCCCTTGGAAAAGGGCTGCGCTGTTCGGCGCCTCGCGCGCCGTGTGTTTTCGTTTGCTGGTCGACTTCGAGCGCGACTACCACATTTGCATTGGTAGCGGAGCTCCGGCTCCAGCGACCTTCGCTTGCACTTGCTAGAGGTCCTGCTTAAGCCCTACGTCACCCACACTTAACCGAGCGCGAGATTGACCTCGCTCTGTTGCTCTTTGGTTGAGTGCTTCCACCATGCCACCACCGACGCAGGCTGCAGATCCGCAAACGGCGGAGTTTCAGAATCTTCGAGATTCCTTTGTCCCCCTCTTCAATGGCCAGCCTGCAGAGTACAAAGAATACCGCAAAAGGCTCAGTCTCTATCACAAGAAGATGCTTTTGAGCAAACGAGGAGGGGAGGCCGTGCTGAACATCATCGGGTCATTCACCGGAGTTGTCTGGCGCCTCTTTGAGGACTTCCCGGTCGAGGATTGCGAGAAGGAAGATGCCTTCAGCAAGGTCCTATCCCGCTTGGACCGCAACTTTGAGTATGACGATCGCGTCCTCTTGCCGAATGACTTCGAGAACTACTTCACCAACCTCCAGCGGAAAAGTCAGCAGAGCTTATTGTCCTTCGTGACCGATCATGATGAGGCCTATCGCAAGATCACCGGCCACAAGATCACATTGCCCAGCCAAGTCCAAGGTTGGCACTTGCTCAAACGAGCCGGCCTGACCAGAGAGCAACGACAGATGGTGACCTTAAAGGCTCCAACACTCGAGAAGCCCAACGTGATTGAAGCTCTCTTCCTCCTTTATGGTCAGGACTACAAGGCCGGTGGATGGTCACCTGATCGCCGACCACAAGCTCGCTGGAAAGGACGAGGCTATGCTGCCTTCGACGAAGAGCCCAATGAATCCAACTGGGACGAGGCCTACTATGAAGATGAATGGTACGAGGCTGAAGAGCCCTACGTCCCCGACTATGAGGATGCAGCCTTCGATGATGAAGCCATCTACTATGGAGGAGAAGATGAATTCAATGACGACTACGATGGCTATGACGAAGATGCTGCTTCCATGGCCGAGGCCTACGACTCTGCATATGCCACCTACGTGGACGCTCGGCAGCGCTTCCAGCAATTGAAGCTTGCTCGCGGCTACTTGCCAGTGGTCGCATTGACAGATGGTCAAACCGCTGCCTCATCATCCTCTACCACGCCAACAGGTCGAGGAAAAGGTCATGACAAAGGCCGTGGAAAAGGAAAAGGAAAGTCCAAGTCGAAGGGGAAGGGCTCCAACACCATTCGCTACCCTCCGTCATCAGGAGGCAAGGCTGATCCCAAAGGAAGAGCAAAAGCTGCCACTGCTTCTATGACATGTCTCCGTTGTGGCCAACTTGGCCATTGGGCCGCCTCATGTCCACAGAATGCCAAAGGGAGCTCATCACCCAGCAACAAGCGTCCAGCTCCAAGTTCGACGACTGAAGGCATGGCTGTTGCTTCGGAAACCGCATTGGTTCTCTTCCAGGATGAGCATGGACAAGATCATCCCGAAGCAACGATGTTGGATCCTGGTGCTTCCGCCTTTCTGAGCGGCTATGGCCCCTTCAAGCGCTATGTGGAACACTTGAGCGAGCTCGGATATCCAGTGAACACCATCAGGTTCGCTCGCTGTGAGAGAAACTTTCAGTTTGGTGGCGATGCCTCTTCTTCTGCTCGCTGGACTGTTGACCTTCCGGTCATGATTGATGGGCAGTATGGCACCATCCAATGCTACCTGATCCCCGGCAACACTCCGATGTTGATGGGAAGGCCAGTCATTGAGGCCCTTCATATGGGGATTGATTTCAGTGGAAAGCAGGTTCGCTTTGGTGCATCTCCTTGGCACCCAGTTCTTCGAGGCCGACATGGTGAGTATCTGTTGTCTCTCACGACTGGCATGGATCCAGTGCCAGATCCTACAAAGGCCGCCTTCGTGCTCAACATCGCTGAAGAAGTACCTGGAAGTCAATTGTTCCTTCACGACTTCAACCAGATGGAGCACATCTTCCTTGCAGGCGACCAGCTGTTGGAAGACAATGGACTGTCGTATCAACCATTGCGACGTCATCAATTGCACACCATGGAGATTGGCTTGGTCACTGCCGCCAATCAGTTTGAGGCCTATGTCACCAAAGAACTGCACAGCGAAGCTCCTGCACAACGTGTTTTATGGGAGGTCTATTGTGGCCGCAGCAGAACGTCACAACTGGCGGAGTCTATGGGCATGCGTGCTGAACGCTTCAGCCTGGACAATGGTTGGGACTTCAACTTGCTCGACCATCAGCGACTCCTCCTCGAGAAACAGCTCGAAGAGATGCCCGACGAGATCCTCCTGGCTCCTGCGTGCAAATTATGGTCGAGGATGCAGACTTTGGCCTGTCGCACTGATGCTCAACGAGAAGCCCTCATTGCCAGTCGAGAGCACCACCATCGCCGGCACTTGCGCTTTTGCAAGAAGATCTACATGAATCAAGTTGAGGGCGCACGACATTGTCACTTGGAACAACCTCGCTTGGCCCTCAGCTGGAAGACCACTGCCTTGCGAACCCTCCCTGGCTATGCTGCTGAGTTCGATCAATGTCGCTATGGAGCCCAGTGTCTTGATGTTGATGGTTCATGGAAGCCTACTCAGAAGCCAACGCGCATCCAGACCACCAAGAAGGCAGTCGCTGAAGCTATGCACCTCCTATGTCAACATGATCATGAACACTGCCGCCTTGAAGGAAGCGCACCTGGCCTAGGTTCCAGAACCACATACATGGAAGACTACCAACCTGGTTTTGCGGCAACCTTGGCTGCAGCAATCATGCAACCTGAACTACCTCAACATTGGGAGATGGCACATGCCGTGAGCACCACGAAAGCTGCTGGACACCTTGTCAAGCTTCATGCTGAGCACCGCACTGACGCTCTTCGAACAGTACAACGATTGCATCGCAATCTGGGTCATCCGACTCCCGAAGCACTGGCCGATCTGCTCGTGGCCAGAGGAGCGACGTCCACCGTGGTTGAAGCAGCTCGGAAGTATCAATGTGTTGCATGCGCCAAGTACAAGAAGCCCAATGAAGTGGCTCCTGCCTCAATGCCTCAAAGTCGCAACTTCAACGACGTCATCCAGGCCGATGTCTTCTACCTGAAGGTCAACGACCGAAAACTGCCTGTGCTGAGCCTGGTTGATGTGGCGACTCGCTTTATGGCTGCCTACCTGCTGGACGATGAGACCTCCGACTCCTATGTCATGGCACTTGAGAAAATGTGGCTCAGGCACTTTGGGCCACCCAAGATCTTGGTGACCGATGAAGGACGGTCCTGGCTTGGAGCTTCCATGGAGACTTGGACTACGTCATGGGGTATTGAACATCAAGTTGCCCCTGGTGAAGCTCACGAGCGACTTGCTTTGGTAGAACGCCGGCATGCAGTGCTTCGCAAAGCTATTGAGGTCTATCTCAGTGACCGCAAGCTCGACAACAAGAAAGGCGTTCGAGAGGCCATCACGCACATCATTCCTCAACAGAATGGTACACCATCGGTTGCTGGCTTCTCTCCTTCACAATGGGTGTTGGGATATCAGCCTGAGCTCTCCCACCTTTTGGACACCAACCTGAACCCGGCACAGTTGAGTGGCTCCAATGAGACCTTTGAGGCCAATCTGGAGAAGCGCACCGCTGCAAAGATTGCC